TTTATATGGTACAGAACTTACTAGCAGACAATTAAACAAGAGTACACTTCAAACAGAACAGGAAATACAGTGATTTTTCTTACACATGATCCTTCTTTAAAGGGAAGAACTGTACCCAAAATCAAGGCAATGCATTTCTGTATTTTTCTGGACCTGATGTGACTTTCTCAGTACCTGGATTTTTCAATGCTCTCCAGTTTGTATTTGGCAGCTGCATTCTTTTACATATTCCCCCAGATATAGGAAAAAAAATTGTAAAAGATAGGTTCTTGACATTTTGAGAAGGATATACCCACTCCAACACTTCCACCTTGGAACTTAACACAGACCAATGCTGGTAAGAGATACTGTCCCATGTTTTTTTTCTTATTTCTGAGCTTTGCTTCTAATAAACATTTTGCTATAAAAAGTCTGAAAACTGTCAAAACCTGCTCCTATTGTGACTGATCAAGGGAGGTTCATAAACAGACCTTTCTCTTCCACAAAGAACACAGCATAAGAAAACCCAAACCATTACACCTGCTGTTCTTCTAATTTCAAGATGAAAAATACAATAAAGTAATCAATAGAAGACTGCAGATGGTTTTGGGGTTTTTTCCATCTAGCTTACATGTTAGCAACAAGAGCTTTAAAACTTGTCTGTTGTTGTAGTTTTTAAAGTTTGGCTAATGCCAAAGCCTCAAGATGTTCAAGAAAGGAGAATCTATTCACACACTTCTGCTTAAGATTTGGCCATAATTAAAAGATGTACTTGTAAACAAAGATAAGGTAAAGTTTTTTTACCTTTTTAAATCTCCAAGGAAGTGTCCAAGAAACTGTTTACTCCTTGCTAAACTTTGCTGGTTCTGTTGCACTTCAGAACCAGCAATAGTTGAGCAATGGGTCAATCAGCCTTTATACAGTTAGCATCTTTCCATGTTCAAAGCTATGCTTCAGTGATGTAAGCTAAATGCCTTGTATCTTTATATAAAGCTGAGGTAAGGTTTGAGATATTAATACTCTTTGTTTTGATACTATTTAGTTTTATTAAGGAAGGAACAGGGGCAAGGAATGTCTGTTTTTTAATTGAGTGCTTCTGACCAAGTACCTTAGTAACACAGTGTATGGCTGGGCACCAGAAACCATGGGTCCTTTTCCAAATCAGGGTGCAGGTGCATCTTCTAATACTTAACAGGTCCACTTGAGATCTTTGTCAGCAAGCTTTAGATATTAGTTACCAAGCTTTCAATCCACAAAGAAACTCACACACATACCATAACTGCTGAATGGTTACTCATAATCACTGTGAGCAGGATGGGACCAACATATCTCATAGCTCTGAAAGTTCAGAACTTGTCATTAAGGAAAGGAGAAGAAAAGAAAACAAAAAAATACTCTTGCCTTTGTAACACTATCTCACCCCAAACGAACACAGATCAGATAGACTTTAAAAGTAAGGTTTAGATAAGTCATATATTCTAAGTGACATGGGATCATTGTGTGTTTGGGGTTTTTTTGGCTTTGTCTTTTTTTTTTTTTTTTTTGGTTTGGTTTGGTTTTGGTTTGAGGTCCTTTTTTGTATTTTATTTAAATTGAATAGGGTTGAAATCATTGCAGGTTGATTTATTGTAATGCCTGTTTCATATTATGATGTGGATTAGTTTTAAAACATTGTATAAAGACAGGGCCAAATGCAAATAATGCAATACTTGATTGTGTAAACAATTAAAGATCAGTTTACAACACAAAACACCAAGCAGCATGGTTTAAGTGGGTTAAACAGTTACACAACTGGAAAATGATATTAATACATAATAGTGCTCACAGCCATTTGACCATTGTTTCGTCCCCTGAACAGAGTTAGATGAGATTTTGTGGTGGTTTAACCCCAGATGGCAACTGAGCCTCGGGCAGCTATCATTCACTCTACCACCAGCAGGATGGGGAGAGAATCTGAAGAGTAAAAGTGAAATAACTCATGACTTGAGATACAGACACTTTAATAGGCAGAGAAAAAGATACATATGTGAGCAAAGCAAAACAGGGAATTAATTCACTACTTCCCATGGGCAGGCAGGTGTATAGCCATTTCCAGGAGAGAAGAACCCCATCACACGTAATGGTGATTTGGGAAGACAAATGCCATCACTTCAAACATCCTTCTCTTCCTCCTTCTTCCCCCCACTTTACATACTGAGCATGACACCACATGGTATGGGATATCAAATACGGTTGATACATGCAACTAAGCAATACAGCATTTAAAACCATGTAGTATTTCCAGATGCTCCTTCTGTACCAAAATAAATATTTTCTTTCATTTTGAACTTCTATGGAAATAAATATTGTTATCATATACTACTAGAGAAACATATTTCCACACTTTTCCACTTACAGTCCATCAGGTATCATATATGATTTTGCCTTTATGATAGTTCTGTAATAGTCCAAACTTGCTCTAGTCAGGCAACCTGTACGAAACTGTGCTAAGGTTGGCAGTAAGAATGGAGTCTCTAATTCAATTTTAAAAATTGTATAAAAAATTTTACATATCTTAATTTTTATAAGAATGAGAATATTTCTTCTACTATATAATTGAAATAGTTTGTCAATAACTTTAAAAAAACCCAAAAAACAGAAAACCTAACAAACCCATAATTAGTAAAAAGAACTGAAACTATAGAAAATAATTACAGAATCACAGAATCATTTAGGTTGGAAAAGATGTCCAAAATCATTGGGTCCGACTTTTGACCAATCCCCCTTGTCAACTAGACTGTGGCACTAAGTGCCACAGCCAATCGTTTCTTGAACACTTCCTGGGATAGTGACTCCGCTACCTCTCTTGGCAGCCCATTCCAATGGTTCACAACACTTTCCATGAAGAAATTCTTATTGATGTTCAACCTGAACCACACCTAGTGCAACTTGAGGCCATTCCTCTCATCCTGTCACCTGAAAAGGCTGACCTCCACCTGGCTACATCCTCCTTTCAGGTAGTTGTAGAGAGCAATAAGGTCTCCCCTGGGCATCCTTTCTCCAGGAGAAACATCCCCAGCTTCCTCAGCTATTCCTCATATGTTTTATGCTTCAGACTCTTGAACAGCCCTGTTGCCCTTCTCTAGACTTGCTCCAGCACCTCAATATCTTTCCTGTGGTGAGGGGCCCAGAACTGGCCCCTGATTTGAGGTACATCCTCACCAGTGCCAAGTACAGAAGGATGATTCCTCCCCTGAACCTGCTCGCCACGCTATTGCTGACACAGGCCAGGATGCCATTGGCCTTCTTGGACACCTGGACACACTGCTGGCTCATGTTCACATGCTGTCGACCAGCACTCTCACACTTCCACCTTCTCCCCACCCCCAGTCCTTTTTCTCTTGGCAGCTTTCCAGACACTCTGCCCCAGCCTGCAGTGCTGCCTGGGGTTGTTGTGACCCAAGGGCAAGACCCAGACAGCACTTGGCCTTGTTGAATCAATAAGATTACAGTGCCAATGACAAAGTTCAAAAACATCTGAAATATTTTAAGTTTTAATAACCAGAAAGTTGTCAAATATATTTGTTTATAAGAGCACATGATGTAACAGCAAATCATAAATAATTAATAAGAACTGAATTATCACTTTAACATTTTTTCAATTCTCAATTTAATTGTGAAAGTATTTCTATTTTGTTCTCCTCCACATTAAAAAAAGAAATTTTATTTTGTGTTAAATATTCCACTTTGAAATGTAAAAAAAACCCCCAAACAACAAAGTCCCTGAATCCAAGAAACACAATTGTTTTATTCCAGTTGTTCTTGAACTTTGTCCAGGTTCTTCTAAATGAGTGAAATGGTCAATTTGACCACAGACAATTCTGCAAGTTTCTCAGCATTTGAATAAACAAACTGACAGTGGATTGTGGGGGTGTTCGGTGTTTTTTATCCTTGACCTATCTCACTTATGTTTTCCTAAAGATGATTTCTGGATTTTTTCAAATTATAAAGAAATAAAACTTTTTAATTTCTTCATTATCTTTTAACAAAATATTTCAATCTGTTTAAGCCCGTGGAATTACTTTGTGACATGGTATCCTGTCTTATAACAGAAAAGAAATCTGACATGCAGGTAGGATCATGACACCATTTTTTTTAATAATAAGCTTTGGAAGAGGGCAACAAAGCAAAACTTAATTTCTAGAAAGCTTTCAGAGAAGTTAATGAAAAACCTACTGTGATCGGGGAAAAAAAAAAAAAGGAAAAGAAAAAGAAAATCCAGCACAATCCTCTCTTTTAAAGTGCTAAACTTAAGTGAAGACGTTGACAAGCAGGTCGCAGCAGTACCTGCCTTAGGTACTGAGAGGGAGACCCAAGCCTTCCAGATATCCTACAGACACAGACCCTGCCGCCCTTCCGGGAACATCCCCACAGCCCTACGCCAGCAAGGTGCACTTGAAGACACATCACAGTGATTCTGTTCTCAGCCGAACATTCACGCCTCGCAGCAACAGTTCATTCGAACCAGACACGGGGGCAGGAAAAGGTATGAAGTAAACCTAGTAGCGAGTACGGGTTTGTTGCAGTTGAGAATTACACGGGGGGAGATTTTATTCCGCCTCTCCCAGAGGCGCCTACTCTCTGCTATCAGTCACAGAAGCTCGAAAAGAACCCTTTCCCCGCTCGCGGGGTGTCCAGGACTGATCCCAGCAAAGGGCGCACCGGAGCCGCTCCAAGCCGAGGATCAGTGGGGCAGAGAGAGGCGGAGGGAGCCCGAGGGGCCCGGCGGCCGCTGCTCCCCCCCCGGCCGAGCTCCAGGAGTGGCGGCCCCCCCGCAGCAGTGCCAGCCCGGCCCGGCCCGGCCGCCGCAGCTGCGGTGAGTCAGTGGGCACCAGGGCACCGCTCCCGGCAGCTGCATCCCGCCCGCCGAGCATCCTCCAGCGCAGGAGGCGCCGGCTCCGCGCACTGCCCTCCCTCTGCCGCGGCCGGCGGGGACTAACAGCGGCCCCGCTGGAGACCCCTCTGGAGCGGCCACCACTTACCTTGACGCTGGAGCTGCTGGTCTGGGTCTCCGCCTCGACGCTGCAGCAGTGGGGCGTCCTGGACCGGGCGGAGGCGCCTCCGGACTCCCTGCGCTCCTTGCGGCGGGGAGCGGCGGAGGGCGGCGGCTGCCGGCTCTGGTAAGCGAGGACGGAGGGAATGGAGTCGGCTGCGTCTGTCTTGACGAAGAGGCCGTGCAGGGTGGCGGTGCCCTGCGAGATGGTGGTGGTCTGGTGGGGGGAGTTGGACTCCTCCGAGTCCCGGCAGTAAATCACACCGCTATGCGAGACGTGGATGCTAGGGGCGCAGCCCATCCCTTCCCTTCCCCACCCACCCCGCCCCGCTGCACCGCCGGCCCGCTCCGCTCCGCTCACACCTGCCGCCCGCCCGCCCGGGCTGCGGGGCCGCCGCCCCTGCGCCGCGCACCCCGCGCCGGCGGCACCGGCGCCTCCCCCC